TACCCCACGAAATAAAGATCTCGGGAAACGTGCGAACGCAGGTACGCGCGAATGGACCGTTTGGTCATATTAAATGTCATTTACCCAGGACCGGTTACTTTATTTTTTTTATTTCAGAGCGTAGATCGCTCTCATACCCCGTGACTCCCAGTACCAGAGCTGTTAAAGAGCAAAGCCAGTGCAGGAAGGGGGGCTATTGACATCCGTGCGGCTTTTTTTTAGCGTGGTCATTCCTGCTGCTCGTCTCGCGCGGACAACCATTATGTGCCCGTATTTGTGGAGCCCCCCAACATTTTTTAGTCCACTGCTGGACGAGGGCCTACCCCATACTGTGTGGGTTACAGGGCTCATTTGAACAAACCTTTCAGCACACTGCTGAGGTGCGGATCGGCGAATGTGTGGCGCATAGACGCGGAAGCGCATAACTATCGTACGGCGATAGATTTCGGTGCACTGTCTTCCGCTGCTCAGAAACAAAGTACTACATTACCCCACCGGTCACCTATGACAACCTTGTACACGTGTTATCGGCTTTCATCCAAGCAATGTCCATGCTCAACCTTGCTTGGTAGCCAACAACCGGAGAGATGAGGCACATTCTCGTGCGATTTGGTCATAGACCATAGTACTTAATTATTATTATTTGCCAGAATATAATATGGAGGTAAAAACAAATATCGTATTACTGATGTGAAAGCACGGTAATGTCTAGGTTTTGGGGAATAATAAAAGTAAATAAAAATATATAGTTGGTGAATATGTGGAATACGGATTATCAAGTCTCCTTCAATATGGGATTATCAATTTCTCTTCATTGAATAAAGGGCATTTGCTATACTGAATTCTATGCAGAGTAATAATACATTTTCATATTAACATTGCAGATGTGTGAACACATTTACGTATAATTTATTTTATTTCACTATATCAGATGCCATATCTTTGTTTTGTAATACTCATGGGCTTGCCTCGATGCCCAGTTTAATTTTAATCACATTTCCATGATAATGTGCAACAACGAGTCCATGCCATCATCATGTGCCATCTGATTATTTGAACGAATGTACAGCGCTACAGCCAATAACTAAATTATACATTTCGATTTAAAGCTTTCGTGACTGCAAGGATTCATCTTCTTTGGTTCTTTCGGTAAAGTCACGTAGAATGAGAATAAAATAATAAATTGATAAAATAAAATAACACAATAATATTCTCACGACGTTTCGGCCACAACACAAGCGGCCTTCATCAGGTGAAGGGACGAGACTGTCTAATATTCTCACGACGTTTCGGCCACAACACAAGCGGCCTTCATCAGGTGAAGGGACGAGACTGTCTGGTAGGACAGCGCTGTCCTCCAGACAGTGGCCGAAACGTCGTGAGAATATTATTGTGTTATTTTATTTTATCAATTTATTATTTTATTCTCATTCTACATGACTTTACCGAAAGAACCAAAGAAGATAAATTATACATTTTAACCCAAAATGTATACATTATAAAAACGAGTATGGCATATCCGCAATGTTTTAAGTTTTTCCGTGTAGTATTGTTGTTGCATTTCTCTTGGCAGACTGGATTCCTTCAAGGGGCATAAATACACAAAAAGGTACTGGGTAAACATTTCAAGTTGGTTATTCCTGAAAAAGTCCGCCACTTCAGTTTGAGGCTTTCTTGGGTCAATAAATAATTACAGCAAGATGCATTGATAGCCACCCGACGAAAAAAATATGGTGACAGGGAAAATAATATATTATTACAAAGCTTCTACAAGTCTCCCTCGAGTTTCAATACGTTTATTACAACTTTAACACATTCCTGATACACTTTCCAGATATCGACCCATCGCTTTCATAATATTCAAACACCTGTTTATATTCTTAGCTCTTTGGGTAAAATCAGGTTGAAGGGAAACAATAAAATAATAAAATATATATAAAACAATAAAAATTATCACGACGTTTCGACCATAACACAAACGATCGTCATCACACCAAACTGTCGTCATCACACCTGATGACGACCGTTTGTGCTATGGTCGAAACGTCGTGAGAATTTTTATTGTTTTATATATATATTTTATTATTTTATTGTTTCCCTTCAACGTGACCTTACCGAAAGAGCTAAGAATATGAATTACTGCAGTCACGAAAGCTTTAAATCAAAATTCAAACACCTGTTGAGCAGAAACAGAGCCATTAGAAATCAGCGGGTTATATGTTAATGTATCAGTATTCATTTGTATTCCTCATTTTAGTCTCCTTTGTACATCATGAATCACAAGTGTTTTTTAGTTTTATAATTGGATTTTAGCCTACGGCGGGACTGCATGAGATATTGCCGTCGGTTAAAATTAAATTGTAAAAACCTGCGACGAAACGACACCTGGCTTTGCCGATGAAGATAATGATTGCATATGATCTACATCATAAGCTGGTGCAATGTTGACATTCCTAAGCATGGGCATGAAGGCACACGATCTCTCTCACCTCGCTGAACAATGACCTTTAAATCAATGTGCGTTTCAAGGCAGCTGAGTTTTGCCTCGTGTTCGGTAATAATCTAATTTTTCACGCCTTGGCAGTCGATTGTACAATCGTAGCCATTTTTCATACCGTGTTATTGACGGCTTTCAGTTATATATATATAAAAAGTCCGCTTATAAAACATGTACCCAGGCTAGGGTCAGGGTTACAGCCAATGTGCTTTCTTTTTGACAACAGCTCGCAGTGGTCATGTGAGCGATCGGATCCTCTGTGTTTGTTTTGCATTATGGTGATGTATCGGGTAGACGAGGGGGGGCGGGGGGGAGGAGGTGAGTTGGAGTTAGGAAAGAAGTGACATAACAAAGTGGCCACTGCTCTGAGTTAATTGATTCTGGAGTTCTCTGGGGCCATGGACGAGGCTTTATAGGCTGGATGAGAGGCGTGAGAGTAAAAGGAGGATTCGAAGCGATGAGTTACCAAACCTTTGCTCGCGTGAGTGCGGCGTTTGGGCGCGATGTCATTGGGCTTTTATAAACCTTGAGAGGTTATGACTTCTAGTATCAGGCTGGACCCACCGTCAATCTTGTCCATGGTCAGGGGTCGTAGGTTTTATTCCCTTCAGATTTATTCGGCGTCTTTATGAGCAAAGCCTGCAGGAGACTGCCATGGTGCATGGGAGGTTGCGCACGTAACTCACTATCCAGAAGCACCGAGTTCAATTCCAGTTGGAGTCATTCATGAGTTTTGCTGCATTTAAAAAAAAAGCTAACATTGCCTCTACCGAACAACAGCTGAAAGGTGTGACAAGAATTATGGAGAGATGGACGTTGACTATACGACTGAGAGGCAGGAAGAGGAACATCCGGATCAAGGAATAACCACACATCACAGCTATTGACTGCCTGGCAAAGTAAGGGGTTTGGGTAGTACACGTTACTAGAAGGTATAATGTTCAATTGTTTGGCAGCCAAAGGAGCGAGAAATACGCCTGAGATGACCACCATGGATATGGGGTGACGAGATGAGTTCATTTGTTGGGCATGAGAAAATGGTCAAGTATGATCATGAGGGATGACGCGGCAGTGGTTATACAATGGCGAATAATGATGATGACGATTATAAAAATGATTATAAGATTATACTCATCATCATCAGCAGCAGTTCTCTATCCACGACTGGATTAAGGTCATTCCTCATAATCATACAATTGCGCAATTGCGCGACCTCATACCTCTATCAGCGCAACAACTTCCCCATTCATCGTATCCAAAACTCAGCTGCCACCGAGACCGTCATCCATGCTTTCATCCCATCCCGGCTCGATTGGCGCAACTGTTTCTTCTGCGGACTTCCCAATATCCCTAATCTCCAAACGCCGATGCTCACCTTTTAATCCGCACCTGTAAATAAGACCACATCGCCGCCCCAATGCTGTACTCCCAATTCCTCCATTGGCTCCCAATCCAATCCAAGATCAATAAAAACAAATTCTCACTGTCTTCCAGATCCTACATGCACTCTCCCCTGCCTATCTTCCCCTCTCATAATTGTATTCCCCTGCACGCACTTTTAACTCTAGCAATCAACGATTTCTGTCAAAGTGCCCAGCCAGCCTCAAGACCTTACGTTTAGTTCTGTGCCTGTGACCGACTGCTTGTCTCTGTAAAATAAATATGCCTACTTTCTCCGTACAGCTTGTTGACATGCGGTGGCGTTTACATGCTATAAGTATACCCCTTATCAAAATGATGAAGTGTATTATCCTATAGATTAACTGATCTCATCGCTTCGTCTGCACGGTGGTCATCCTTTCTGGTGCGGCGTCTCCTTTCACTGTCATTCCATCACCAGTCCTGTCCATTCCCCACCAAGATGACGATGTTTCTACAAGGTGGTCCAGATATCCTGTGACCCCGAATTAATTGACCCCTAACCTTGTTTCCCCTTTGCATATTAATTTCTGTTTTAAATAAACCTTATTGCAAGAAAAAAAATACGTATTACAGAATGAAATGGGGTCACAAGACATCTGAAGCACCCTGTACATCAATATGTTGCCGTAAAATAGGTACCGCCACAGCAAAGGCAATTGACAAGTGTCCTTTATGGCGAGGGTAATGATGTGTGACTCTCCGTCTCGTGCGATCCACGTGGTCATCGTTCAGGGGTGCGCACAAGGGCCGCTTCGACTCGACGCCTCTCAATCGCGCTCACGCGAGCAGGCCTCTCGCCCTCGCCCCCCACTCGCCTCGCGATCTGCGGGGCCACAAATCGAAGACGCCGTGCGGAGTCCCTCGATCAAACGTCGAGAAACTCGCAGCAGAGCACGGGGGCGGGAGGGGGAGGGGGGTGGTGGCGGCGTTTGTCGGTGGCGCAACGCGGCCGCGCTGCCAAGGGCACCTTGAGAGAGGTTCGGCTGCGGCGTCGCACTACGCACCAAGCCACTGCCGAGAGACATTAACAAAGCTCGGGGCCCCATTCGCACTGCGGGTTGAGCCGGGGGGGGGGGGGTGGGTGGTGGGGGGGGCGTATCGGCACCAGCATGAGTTAAAAGAAGAAAAGACGAGGGGCTTTGTCCGCGAACATTGATCCGGCACCCTCGTGGTTGGACGGCGGCGTTCAAGGAGGTGGGCGGCCGCGTTGGGTGAGTGGCGATGGGAGGGAGGGGAGACGCGAGGAACACGCTGAGCGGTGTTTGGGGGGGGGGTTACCTCTCGTTGCTGGCGCGGTTGTGTGTGTGTGTGGGGGGGTTGACTCAGAGATGTCCTGCTGACAACATTGATGGGGGGGGGGGGGGGTACAGGCGCCTGTTTCACGGTTGTGTGTGTGGGGGGGGCGGTTGACTTAGAGATGTCCTGCTGACAACATTGATGGGGGGGGGGGGGGGGGTACAGGCGCCTGTTTCACGGTTGGATTATTGGTGGCCGAGAGGTGCGAGGCCAGTTTTAGGTGGGTGGGGGGGGGGCTGTGCGGTCCGCTGCGCTCTGAAACAAAACCTCTCACTCGCTGCAGGCGTGTGGCTTCGTGCAGTGCTTCTTTCACTGCTAGCCCCGCGAGCCACTGGCGGCCCCTGAAGTGCGCCCCCCACTCCCTACCCGACAATACACAAATGTGAAAACAACCCCCATCCCCCCATCATCATCATCATCGTGCTGCTGTAAAACACAATGGTTTAAAATGTGTGGCGGCACACACACTGACTGCATTGTCAGCGACAGTGCCCCCCCCCCCCCCCTTGTGAAGAACACCGGCTTAATTAATCTTCCGACATCTGCATATGAAAACTATTGCCATCGTTTAAGCACGGAACTGCCTTCCATGACATCGACAGACTTAGTTTGCTCCAAGCGCCATGTGTTCGCATGGAACCTTCACAAATTATGTATGTTATCGCAGAATTCTGGGGCAAGTGGTTACTTCTTGTTTGGCTTTTAATTGATTTATAGTTTCGGCCACAGATTACATGCGACAGCTTAATTCCATTGAAATAAACCAACATTTTACAAGGGGAAAGAGGAGAAGAAACCAGGGCCAGAACGGTCTCCATGGATAATAATAATAATAACAAAAGTAACTTAAAACAGCTCTTCATCAATTCAGGGTTGGATGAAGGCCTCCCCCTCACGGTGTATTCATCACGGGGATTGTTTGACCATACTTCATTACACTATTCAGTGATATTAGCCGGGGTCGAAAATCGATCTGAGATCGCCAGGTTCAAATGATCGGGGTTGGGGTGGGGGGGAGACTTGGGACAGAAGACATGTCCATGTATGGATGTAGTCATTGTAATATGAACTGGATCTATACCTACGTTTATCTTGCTGCTGTTCTGAAACTCTGTGATGATGAGCTGGTGTTTTTGAAGAATGCTGATCTTTGTGTTAATATTAACACCCAGCCTATCTACTTAACACTCACCCAGCTCTTGACCAAATGAAAGTATATTGCCTGCATTAGTAGTAAGAGGTTTTTTGAGGAATGGAGTGACCAAATATCAACAGGACACTGTGTAACAATTTTTTTTTTGTTTCTGGGTAGTAAGTGTTATATTCTAATTGCATGTACCTCAAAAGTACAGAAAATGTATATTAATCCCCACAAACTTTGCTTTTGTGACCAGGACAGTGACATTTAGAAATTTACATATTTTTCAATGAGAAAACGTGGTGTGCATTTGTGTCATTGATTCACATCAAGTCCTGGTCACAAAAGCAAAGTTTGTGGGAAATAACATTCATTTTCTATACTTTTGAGGCATAAGAAATTAGAAAATAACGCTTACTACCCAGGAACAAAAATCGTGTTACATAGTGAATTATAAGTTGTTTTGAACCTCGGAGAGATTAAGGCCATGTTCTGATATCAATTGCCATTGATGCACGTGGCTATGAATGCAACCCAGCTGTCTGTGATTGTCGCAGTGCCCTAAATAATAACGTACCACCGCTGTCATTGCACAAGGGGGTTTCAATAACTGAAGAAACAAATTTTTTTTGCGTCGACCACAATGTTTGTATAAACAGCGGTTCAAAAAGCTTTCGAAAGCTAACAACGTCGGAGTATTATTGTGGGGCATTCAACCATAACTGCACCAATGCTTTCAGAGCTTTGCCCGAGTGAAGCTTCTTTCAGAGATCCGCACAGATTCCAGTCCAACAGGGCTAGTTTCAGGCTGTATGCCGGATGGTTCCAAAGCATCCCGTCCTTGATTTATCAGCAATTCCATCAGTGCACATGCAGAGTGTGATTGTGCTGTATTATTCTGAAAGACCACAGCGCCACAATGTAATCTAAAACCATAAACTATATTTTTTATTTTACCAGGTAAAGCCCAATGAGATGTTTCGCTCTTTTTCAGAAGTGACCTGGCCACAAATGATCGCTCAGCGAAGTGGCTTAAGATTTGAAAATGTATAGCAGCCAAATAATCTAAATGCATGCTTCTAAATGTGGAGGGAAAAAAATCGGAGGCCCTAGAGAAAAATCCACGCGACAACGGGGAGAACACATAAAACTCTAAATATACAGGAGGCGTCAAGGTCGGGATGGAACCCACGTCCTCCTGTTTACCAAGCAAGGTAGTTAACATCTCGCCACCGTAGATATACAGTTGTTGCTATACTGCTGCAGCTTCATTCTTCGATAAATTCACTTATCTTTAGATTGTCAGATAACAAAAAACTTGATAACAACTCGCTGCTCTTCGAATGTGCAGTTGAGCAAAGTGTTCTGCCATCTGTAAATCAAGTGATACGTCTACCATCTAGTGGCAAAATCTAAACTTAAAACATTGAATATAGGTAGGTTTTGCGTGACTAGAGAAAGGAAGGATTGCAAGGGGGTTGTCCAGCCTCATCATGAGCTGCCATATGACGATTGACAGAAAAGAAAAGAACCAGGATCATGTCCCATTTACTTTGAAAAAAATTATTGGCATCATATGACTTAGGTTACAGAATGAATAAAGGTATCTTCACTTAAATATCCTTGTACATGTGAACCTTATGGCGGGACCCCGGGGTCCCATAAGCCCCCGGCTCTCGCATGAACATTATATTATAATGTGAATACAAACTTTGCTCCTGTTCACCAATGGGTTTGAAGGATGGTGGTAAGTGTTGTCTTGTTAATGCCTTTAAAACTGAAAACTACTTACCTGCAGTATCTCTATTTAAATACACCATCGAAAAAATAAATTACACCCCTCTGGCAATCATCGTGTTTTCTGTGTGAATTTGTGAACACACTTTGTAAACGGTACGTAAAATAGTACGCGTTTTCAATGCGCTGTTCATTTTGTAACAAGCGTTTATACCAATGTTACTCTACAGAATCATGGGTGATCGCTCCTCTTATCCGCATTGATACGAGCGGTATGTGGGGACGATGGCTTAACCGCAAAAAAAAACGCCTCTCTGCACAGATGTATATGGACAAGAGAAATGTTATCAAACAGGAGGTATTAACGGTGCAACGCATCTCACCTGTTAAATATCTGCAGGTAATAGGATTGCCAAGGATTGATCCTGGCTGCAGACATTGGTAGGTCACAAATAATAATGAAGATAAGAGAGCAGTTTCACTGTATTATGCATACCGTTATGACAAATAAAGGATTGAAGTACTGGAGGTAGTTTTAGCAGCTTGGATAAGACTTATGATCCTGCCCATACCCGAGCATGGAGTGCATTCGCTTGTTCAGCTCTTCTGCGCATTCGTCCTCGCTGCTGATCTGCGCCAGGTGGGTCGCGGTATTTATGTGTGCGGTGGGACGGAGTCTCCAAAAAACACATGAATGAATTACGATTTTGACTTCGGTTTATTCGGGACCCCGGGGTCCCGCCATAAGGTTAATGTGTAGAACTTATATGTATATGCACACACACACACAGGGACGCGCTATTAATTAAACAAGGGTGGGTACTTGATGGCTGTGTCCAGCTATCTGCGTGTTATACATCGGAACAGCTTTGGATCTCCATTGTACACAAAGGTGATGATGAGCCCAGGGCTGGAATCACGTTTGTGTAATGCCCCATTGCCCAGTGGCAGTAGGACGGGCAGCTGTCCAAAGCCTTGCGTGGTTTTGGTGACTGTTCACGCGGCATCAGCAGAGGCCAACGTTACATTGCTTATTGTCCTGCCATGAGGCCCGGTGTGCAAGTGATGTCGGCTTTGATGCGCGTTATTTATAACGGGATATGCACATCATCCTCATCTGCGTCGTTGTTACTCACACGCTCATTTCAAATCACGCAAACCTTTATTTGGCGTTATTCATGGGCACAGGGACTTAAAATCTCCCATCTCCCCAAAATACACGGCTCCCCCCACGAACTGTCCTCTGTTCGAGAAGCCACGCTAATACAGCGCCCGTGGATTTGCCCCAGCATCACGCTGCTTTTTCCACAATTCTCTGTGATTCACCGCGGCTAGCGCCGGCAAAGCGGAGATCGATGCCCCCTTGCTGCTGACGTTAGTTTCCCAGGATGAGAAGCCAGGCGGCGGTCAGATGTTTCCACGGCCCGCCCCTCCTCCTCCTCCTCTCAATCCACTAAGGATGGCAACAACAAGGAGCCTTGATTGTTGGGTTGGCTATCCTGGAGGCGTGGATGTAACGTGTTGACAGGTGGGTTAGCAGTGTCCCTGTTGATACAGAACGATATACATCAGCGATAAAGCTGAGAAACCACAGTGGTGTTGTTGATTTATGTCAATTTATATCCACAGTTATGCTAATGGAGTCCTCAACTTCGCTCGTAATTTAATCGAGCAAGCACCGGCTGAAGCCGAGTAATACATAACACCGAACCAATTTTTGTTTTAATCACAAAGTTTCTGAGCACGTGTCCAGAGGCTCAAAAGATCGTGCGGCCAGCAACAAACAGCACTGACAAAGCTATGATAGACAAGAGTTCATGCAGCATTTAAAAAAAAAATTGAGCAAGGTCATAAGAGCTTGGGAAAATGAATGAAGGGAGAGAAGTGTTGTGACCTCCAGTGTGGTGATTGAGCACAGTACGGATGAGATGAAACAGTGTCTGGTAGACCGGGGCCCTCGACATCAGTAGAGGAATCATTGAGTGCATTTCATGGGAACAGTAACCATGGAAGATAAATCTGATAATAATAATAGGGGTT